ATTGTACTCTACTTCAAAATAATGCATGATGCCTTGAGTTGAGAATAATGTGCATGCTTGAAAAATACTTAAAAAATGGAATTGTACTCTTGAGATTGATATGCTTGAGATGGTTGTTGTTGTGAAGGTTTATACGGACCGGTGATATATATGCTTCGTTAAACTTCTCAATTTTATACATATCCTTACGATTTGATTATATAATTATTCAAGGTAAGCATTTATGAGTGTATGTAGCATGTTGGTCCATGTGAATGCATATGCATGATAAGCTCTTGAATAATTTTTTAAGACATAAAAATGCATTTTTCGTTATGGTTCTCTCGATATCGATTGAAAAAATTATTTTAAGGAAAAGAATTTTCATGACTTTAAGGTTTGAGGAAAGGACTTCATAGGTTTCTATATGGTAATGGTAATGGTTTAGGAGTCGGGCAAGTGTGGACATGCACTTTTAGAGGCTCGATAGGGTGTGTTTGTAGACGAGTTCGATTCACCGGACACATATTATGGAACCCCGAAGCACCTAAATGAGACATGTCCACGGACGAAAAAGGGATTTTCAGATTGTTTATGTTTTATGACATGATGAAAAAGGGTTTATTTTTCGTAAGACGAGTATTTGATATCTACGTATACATGTACATGCATACATGTATCCGTTAACTTACCGAGTCGTCGCTCACGTAGTTTCTTATGGTATAGATAAATAAAGGTATGATGACCTACTTCTCATGGCCTACTTCTCTACAAAACCGACTACTAAAGGAGGTACCGAGCGCATATATCTTGGATGGAGGTTTGAGGTTTCGAGTAAACCCATCGAACGCCGTTTTAATTATAGTATTAGCTATAATTTTTTTTTGATTTAAATGTAAGTATATAAATCAAAATGTAACAAGTTGGAGAACCAGCAAGAGTAACATATATAAGATGTACAATAATTTGGGAACATGCTCCCAAGGAACAAAGCAAAAGAGCTAGAGCTAGACGGTTGTTCGAGGAATCGGACATTAGGGATTCCGGGAACAACCAAACAGATGATCATGTACTAGATAATTGGAACCATGAATAAAGGTTCAACAGAGCATACAAAAACTTTCGTTGAGAAGACCAAAAGGAGATTCGACCAAAAGAAGAAGGCCTATTCCAATAGAAGGAAACGATAGCTAAGGAAGCCGAGCCGCGAGCGAAGTAGCATAAGGTAGCAGACAGATTTAACACGGATAGCAGAACCAAACAAGCAAGCTGAAATGAAATCCAAGCCGGTCGGAGAGCGAGCATGAGTGGGAACGTTCAACCAACATTCGGAATGTTGTGATCTTTCTCATGAAAGTGAAAAATCATGAAGAAAAGAACCTAGAATTTTTAGAAGAAATGGTCGATTGGGATTAGGGAGTGAGCACCATTGAAGCTTCTCTTATTCCTATCTTTCCAAATAATATAGACGAGTGATCCTCATAGCGATGTAGCACATTCGGGCTTCTAGGTTGTTCCTCCGGATGGAGAGGCCTCGAATGGCGCTCGATAGGGTAGACATACTCCGTCGAATTCGTAGCCGCCTCTTGACTAGAGCCCGAGGCCTCGCTGTCCATGAGCACCGAAAAAACATGTGGCTATGAGATTCTAGAGCTCATCGATATAGGACACGACTAACTTCATCCGAAATAAATCGAAGGCGATCTAAAGTTTTGAGCTTCCCCTTAACTACCAACCGGAGAACAAAGGCATGCCTCGGTAAGACCCATCTGTTCCCGGACCCCTTTATGCCAACTTACCAATCCGCATGTCGAGTGAAGCTCATGATAAGCATTGTGGATGAACGTGGCTTAGCCTTAAGTTTCTATTCTTGCCTCAACCGCAGTATCGGCCTTAAATTTTTCTAGCGACCGGTCGCGTGTAGAGAGTATTGCCTTCCAAGTGGGAGAGATATTCCGGTTCACTAGGCTTTGCCACATCGAATGGTCCCTTAGGTAGTAATGATGAACCCATTGGATCCATATCGAGTTAGTCTTGAGATGAATATCCCACAACCGCTTGGCAAGGAAGCACCGATTGAGGGTAGGCGGATGCTAGAGCGCAAGATCTCCTTCCTCTTTCGGACAAAGACAAGTCGATTCCCGACGAACTAAGGCGAATGACTCTTCTCGATGTCCCTCGTCCAAAGGAAGTTTCTACAAATGCTAGTGATTCGGGAAAGAACCACCGCAAGAAGGAGAAAAATGGCCAACCATAACCGGATAATCCCCGTCGCGACCGAGCGCAAAAGCTCCGACCAACCAACGTATGAAAGGTGCTTCCCCATCCAAGATTGGATCGTCGACTCCAAACTCGCAAAAGAGGGGAGAATTGATTGGCTAAGAGACGGTGGGGATTGAGAGGGCACCAAGATATCGAAAAGGGAAGGAGCCTTTTGTAAAACCAGTATCCCGAAGAAGAGTCCGCTTTAAGCTCGCTCCCTATGCCCCCAAAGTAGATAGACAATTTGGTTGAGTTGATAGTTAGGCCTAAGGTTCCGCCAAATGTGTGCAACTGTTGCGCTAGGCATTGAATCGAAGCCCCGTCGCCTCGACAAAGAAGCATAATGTCCTCCGCAAAGGTAATGTGACTAATTTTGTGAAACTCACACTACGGGTGAAATCCGAAATCAACCCTATGTGAAGCAATCAAAAGCATGCGGGAGAATTATTCCATGCACTCGATGAAAAGGTACGGAGAAAAAGGGTTCCCTTGTCAAATCCCACCGTTGCCTTGGAAAAAACCGAAAAGGCTACCATTCATCAAAATATAGTAGGATGAAAATTTCACGCAAGCCATGACCGGGTGAACAAAAGTATTCGGGAAGTTAAGCGCCAAGAGAAGGTCTCTAAGAAAAGGCCATTGCACCGAATCAAAAGCTTTCTTGAAGTCCACTCTCAAAAGGCACCGAGGTGAGGCGCGTTTATGGCCATATTGTCGGAGCAATTCCCGGAGAAGGTGGATATTGTCCGATATTTTTTTGCCACCTAAGAAAGCATTCGCATGGGACTCGATGACATCAATTAAAGCTCTCGCTAACTTGAAAGAAAGGATTTTCAAGATCACTTTGTACACTACATTATAACAGGAGATAGGCCTAAAGTTCGAAGGAGAGGAGGCATTCGCCGATTTTAGAATCGGTGCTATAACAGAATGGTTGATTTGTTTAAGAAGTTGTCCCGATGTGAAAAAGTCTTTCACAACTACATAAAAATCAGCCCCACTATATCCCAAGCTTGCTTAAAAAACAAAGAAGAGTAACCATCCGACCCCGAGGCTTTGTCGATGTCAATTCCAAAAAGAGTTTCTCGGATTGTGACAAGTGAAAATAGGGGCAAAAGGAACTCATGAGAGCCCGAATCAAGGCAAGGCCCTCAAGAAAGAATATCGACATCAAGCGGAGTGATAGCCCGAGTAGTTCTAAGAAGCTTCGGTAATAACTAACAAAAATTTCACCCACTCGCGGACGGATAAGTTATGGGTCGCCCATCATTATCTTCAATTGCAGCGAATGAAATTTTTCTTGTGATTTTGGTTTATGAGGGAGTGGAAGAACCGACTGCCCCTATCACTCTCTTCTAGGAACTTGCATTTAAGTTTCGACTATAGAACATTTTTTCTATAGAATTGAGGTTTACTAAGACAAGCCTCTCGTCTCCGCTCCTCGCTCTAGAAGACTACCATTATTCCCGTCTAACTATAAGGCCTCGCCGAAGGTGCTTAAGATCAACTATAGCTTTGGCCACTCACTTCGAGATATGACTATAGTGAAGCTTGTTGAACGCGTGTAAAGGTCGCTCGAGAGCTTTTAGCTTGCGATAAAGGATAAACATAGGAGTGCCTCGCAAGCCACGGACCCGATGACGATCAACAAGCTAGAAGAAACCGTCGTGATGAGCCCACGTGTTAAAGAACTTGAAAGGCTTTCGACTCGGAGAAGGCTGGTTATCAATCCGAACCCAAGCTTGAGCTTGGTCGGAGAAGCCACTTAAGGATTGAAATGGACGAAGCGGGAAGAGAGGATACGAGCCATAAGGGGTTGGCGAGGACTTGATCAATCTTAGTCCGGACATTGCCATCGGTCCATGTAAACCGACCGCCCGTACATATGAGGTCTCGAAGGCTAAGATCTAAACAACAAGAGCGAAAGTCTAATGTTTCATAGTTAGACCCCGTCGCGCCATTGTGTTTATCTTCGTGAGAAAGGATGGAATTGAAGTCCCCAAGTACAAGCCACTAACTTTGGGGATTCCATTTACGAAGATGCTCCCAAAGCGACCTACGGTGAGTGAGTGTATTAAAGCCGTAGCAGAAAGTGGCATGGAACATCAATCGATGGACGAGGCCGCGAATGTGGACATGCAGCCCTCGGGTAGAAACATCAATGAAATCAATCAAGACTCGTATCCGGATTCCAAAAGAGGACAATGCGAGCTTTGGAGGACTCTTTGGCATTGGAGGTAAATTTTCACCACTCGAGCCGAAACCCGTAGAGTTAAACTAGCTTAGCTAAGCCGAGCTTGGTTTCGACTAAAGCACAAACATCTAACTTCTTCTTTTTCATGAAGCCAACAACCTCATACTCGCTTTAAAGGACTATTGAGGCCCCTAACATTCCAATAGAGGATAATCATAAAGCCGTTGAGGAGGTCGGGCCCCTCTTAGCACTCATTTTAGGCTTTCTAGTTTTTCGTCGCACGGGTAGCGCTTAAGCCTACACCTAAAGACTCGTAACTTGTGGTGATGCTAGCACACCTAAACCGACCATATCCAACTAGAACCTACATGTGGCGACCGGATCCTCCCTAATTGGTTCGAAGCCTCATAAACTATGATCGCACCGAAGGTTGGACCCTCGAGCACTCGCGCCCGGCTTGGCCTCCAAGGCTTTCGAGAGGGTCTCTCTCCCGTGAGTTAAGCACTAGACCGAAAAGACTTGCCGCAACTTCCTTACCCTTATCCAGCCAATGTGAGGCTTGAGCCTACTCATCGACGAGCCGTCCCAACGGAGTAGGCGATAGCCGCTGAGACCGATGCCGGCGCTTCGAGCGGGCTTTGGCTTTGGCTCGGCTCGTGATTGTTACCCACTCCCCTATCGCAGCCTCGGCCTTCGAAACCATAGGGTCGAAATGAGTGGTCTCCGATGGAATGCCGGCATGATTAGCAAGCACGGTCGAGTCCCCTCTATTGACCACCATCCGGGCTTGGGTGAGGCTCACATTCTTCGTACCGTCTATAATCTTTCTCCGACCGGCCGTTGGAGTTTGCTTTCCACACGAGGTCGTAGAGTGACCTAGAACTTGATAAGTTTTACAATGCGTTGGTAAAGTCTCATACACAACTTGCTAGAGTAGGGTAGAGCCATTTGGCGACCCAATGTTTACGATTCTCGAAAGCTCCTCCATGATGTTAACTTCCACCAAAACCCTAGCATAGGAAATCCGCTCCATAAAGGTTGTGAGCCTATCGACTGGATAGGTTTGCCCGATAAGCTAGCCACTTTCGAGAGACACAAGGGAGACTAGTAGTTAAGAGGTAGATTCAAAAACTTCACCTAAACCGACACTTGTGACATTTCTTTGATCAAGAAATCAAAGAATTCGAGCATGGGCCGCAACAATAAGGGTCGGCCAAATATCAAATACGGACCCCCATTCAACATTGATAGTTTAGCTTCTTCGGAATCAAATTTATACACAAGCCACCCGCAGTCATGAATAGAGAGAGTTGCTTGGCATTGTCATGTATTCGCAATAATCCCGTTAAGGGCCCAAAAACTTGATGACTTCCCGACTACATATCCAATAAGACAACATTTCCATATCTCGCATTTCGGATCATCAGCAAGTAAAATGCAAGATCTACTTTCAGTTATATCGAAAAATAGGTGAGCTTAGGGCATAGTGTAGCATTACGATTATTGGCTAACAAATCACGCCAATTAGCATTAGGGGCTTGAGAAGTACACGGTCCAATCGGAGGAGGAGAGCTAGGCCCGGTAGTTGCTAGAGGCCCGATTAAGTCGACTGGAGAAGAAGCCGTTGCCCCCGACCCTCTGCTCGGTCATATGGTCGAGACAAGCCCTTCGAATTTGATGGAAGAGGTCGGATGAGAGGAGTGGGTGTGGGAGAATCAACAACCATTTGGGCGGGAATTTTTTAGGTTAAAAATTTCGGATGGGAATTCAAATTTTGATTGAAATATGAAAATTTATATTTTTGAGCTATTGGGCGGGAAACCAAATTTTCAAGTCCGTCCGAATCTTCGTAGCCGTCTACCTTATCGGAGGAGGAGTCTTCTTCGTCGAGTCGGATTCGGCCTTACTAGACTCTCCTTCAACCTCCATAGTCTCTAGTGAGGCGGACTTGGCGACTGAAGTGGAACCAAAAGCCACGGGTGTGGCAGAGCCAAGTCGAGAAATAAAGGCCGCAACCGCCTAGTTTAGGATGGGATCCGTCGGAGCAGGTAGGGCTATCACCGGTTCGGCCAAAATCGGTGGTTCCCTCACTTTAGATTTTGTTTTTTTCTTCTTTTTGGCCATGAGCATGAGAAGGAGAGGTCATATAAAAAAAGCCGAGAAATAAAAAAATGGAGAAGGTAGAGGGAAGAGTCGGGGAGAGAGAAACTAGGGGAAATGAGTGATGGGAGAGGGACAGAACGAGCCGAGGGGAGGGAAAGGAGGACGGGAAAGGAAGCGAAGGTTACCGGCCGAAATATTCGAGTGGTGGCACTAATCGGAGCTGGAGGAAAGATCTTTATAGGAGGAGAGCATCTCTCTCTTCTTTCTCTCTCCGAAGCGTAACCGAGAGCTCTTTCTTGATTCTACTAGCTATAATTTTATATGTACTTGATTTAGTCGGTTTTTTTTTATGCAGTAGTAAAAGCTATAGGGAAAGGAGGGGAAATGAGTGATGGGAGAGGGACGAACAGTGCCGAGGGGAGGGAAAGGAGGACGGGAAAGGAAGCGAAGGTTACCGGCCGAAATATTCGAGTGGTGGCACTAATCGGAGCTGGAGGAAAGATCTTTATAGGAGGAGAGCATCTCTCTCTTCTTTCTCTCTCCGAAGCGTAATCGAGAGCTCTTTCTTGATTCTACTAGCTATAATTTTATATGTACTTGATTTAGTTGGTTTTTTTTATGCGGTAGTAAAAGCTATAGGGAAAGGAGGGGAAATGAGTGATGGGAGAGGGACGAACGGAGCCGAGGGGAGGGAAAGGAGGACGGGAAAGGAAGCGAAGGTTACCGGCCGAAATATTCGGTGGTGGCACTAATCGGAGCTGGAGGAAAGATCTTTATAGGAGGAGAGCATCTCTCTCTTCTTTCTCTCTCCGAAGCGTAACCGAGAGCTCTTTCTTGATTCTACTAGCTATAATTTTATATGTACTTGATTTAGTCGGTTTTTTTTATGCGGTAGTAAAAGCTATGGGGAAAGAAGGGGAAATGAGTGATGGGAGAGGGACGAACGAAGCCGAGGGGAGGGAAAGGAGGACGAGAAAGGAAGCGAAGGTTACCGGCCGAAATATTCGGTGGTGGCACTAATCGGAGCTGGAGGAAAGATCTTTATAGGAGGAGAGCATCTCTCTCTTCTTTCTCTCTCCGAAGCGTAACCGAGAGCTCTTTCTTGATTCTACTAGCTATAATTTTATATGTACTTGATTTAGTTGGTTTTTTTTATGCGATAGTAAAAGCTATGGAAAAATAAATGATATGACCCGAAAAATAGTGGTAGAGCCAAGTCGATAAACAGAGGCTACAATCATCTAGTTTGGGAGGGGATCCATCGGAGCAGCGGTGGCTATCACCTGGTTCGACCGTAACTAGTGGTTCCCTTACTTTGAATCTCGTTTTCTTCTTCTTTTTGGCCATGAGCCCGAGAAGGAGAGGTGAGATAAAGAAAGAGTCGAGGAATAAGAAAATGGAGAAGGTAGGGGGAAGAGTCGGGGAGAGAGAAACTAAGGGAAATGGAGTGGTGGGAGAAGGACGAACGGGTCGAGGGGAGGGGAAGGAGGACGGGAAAGGAAGCGAAGGTTACCGATCGGAATATTCGGTGGTAGCGCCAATCGAGTTGGAGGAAAGATCTCTATAGGAGGAAAGCATCTCTCTCTTTTTCTCTCTCCCGAGGCGCAACTAAGAGCTCTTTCTTGATTCTACTAGCTATAATTTTATATGTACTTGATTTAGCTAGTTTTTTTTATACGATAGTAAAAGCTATGAAAAAAATGATATGACTCGAAAAATGGTGTAAGGGTAGATAAGCCACTTTGTAGTAGTTGACATAAAATCGAGTCTCGTATGTAAAAGGCTATGGTATGTAATCGAACTAGTAGTAAATAAATGGTAATGTGATGGTATTAGTACAATTATTATAAATTGTTCCTTACATGTTAGCATTACAAAAAAAAAAAAATTATAGCAACCTTGAGGTTTAGGATTAGGACCTAAGTGTTATAATAGACATTCACCACATAAATATCTTTAAATAAGTTAAGTGCCTTGTTAACTCGCATTCATTGCACTTCGAATGTGGTTAACGATGGTAATATTCTCGACTTACTAGGTCCTAGGTTAGGGGTGTTACGGACATGGTATTAGAGCGAGTTCTTTCAAAGCATATCCTTGCGATTTGATTATATAATTATTCAAGGTAAGCATTTATGAGTATATGTAGCATTCTGGTCCATATGAATGCATGTGCATGATAAGCTCCCGAATAATGTTTTAAGTCATAAAAATACATTTTTCGTTATGGTTCTTTGATAGTGATCAAAAATTATTTTTAAGAAAAGAATTTTCATGACTTTAAGGTTTAAGAAAAAGACTTTATGGGTTTCTATATGGTAATGGTAACGGTTCGTGATCGGGCAAGTGTAGACGTGCACTTTTAGAAGCTCGGTAGGACGCGTCGGTAGACAGTGTCCGGTTTACTCGGACACATATTATGGAACTCGAAGCACTTAAATAAGACATGTCCATAGACGAAAAAAGGATTTTCGGATCGTTTATGTTTTATGACATGAGAAAAAAGAGTTTATTTTATGTAAGACAAGTATTTCATATCTATGTATACATGTACATGTATACATGTATCCGTTAACTTACCGAGTTATCGCTCACGTAGTTTCTTATGTTGTAGATAAATAAAGGTATGATGGCCTACTTCTCTACAAAGCCGACTACCGAAGGAGGTACCAAGCACATATATCTTGGATGGGGGTTTGGGGTTTCAAGTAGACCCACCGCACGTTGTTTTAATTATAATACTAGCTATAGTTTTATATGTACTTGGTTTAGTTGGTCTTTTTTATGAAGTAGTAAAAGCTATGGAAAAACAAATGATATGACCTAAAAAATAGTGTAAGGGTAGAGAATCCACTTTTGTAGTAGTTGGCATAAAATCAATCTCGTATGTAAAAGGCTATGGTATGTAATCAAATCAGTAGTAAATATATAGTAATGTGATGATATTAGTAATATTATCATAAATTTTTCCCTACACGTTAGCATTACAAAAAAAAAAATATATATATATATATATATATATATATATTTATAGCAACCTTTAGGTTTAGGAATAGGACCTAAGTGTTAAAATAGACTTTCACCACATAAATATCTTTAGATAAGTTAAGTGCCTTATTAACTCACATTCATTGCACTTTAAATTTGATTAATGATAGTAATATTCTTAGCCTACTAGGTCCTAGGTTGGGGGTGTTACGGATATGGTATTAGAGTAGTTCTTTCAAACCATATCCAAGATGGGTGCTTAGTGCTCTTCGGTAATCGGTAAGTATGTTTGAATTGTTTGTTGTGTATGTTATGAATGAAAATGATGTGATGTTATGTAGGAAGCAACATTTTAACATGATATGGAAGATTTAAAGAATATTAATATTGTGTATGTGCGAATGTAAAAGAAGGATACACTATGCCGCCTAAGCAAGTTAATAATAATAATACTAGTGGTAATATAGTGGTCGAACCGAGTATCGGGTGACCGAGAAAGAGAATTGATGGAGTTGCTTATGAGGCAGCAGAAGATGATGAACCGGCGACAAGAGAGGCATGAGGAACAAATATAAAGAATTTTGGAAGTAACCCAACACGATCCAATCGAAGCTCGTCAATTACAAAGGATCGACATGGTCGAACGATTCCAAAGGTTCAATCTAAAGGAATTCGGAGGCGGACCAAATC